TCCTGGGTTCGGCACCCCACCAGGCATCGGCTGGGAGAATTTTATGTAATGTAAGGAGTATACATACACATATCTATATATGTATGTATGTATGTATGTATGTATGTATGTATGTGTATATGTATAGATATACATAACATGTATATGCATATGTATGTATCAGCTTAATAACAACAATGCTGACACACAATAAATACTAATAACAAGAGCAACATATTGAAGGTGCAGGGGCTTGAGCCCTGGATTTGGAGTTCATCATCCGACTTCACAAGAGAAAAGGATATGCGGAACATCAGGCGAAGTCTCAATGTGTCATAGATGCCATCGATGCTGTCCTCCTGCATCTTCAAGAGGAAGCAGGAAGACATCTGCGCGTTCGGCGTGCCCGCGTTGAAGAGGGTGGGGCTGGCATGCGTGAAGTACCTATAGTCTCCATAGTTCCTTTTTGGGGATACCTTATGAAAATCCAAGAGATAGAATTGGTTAAACCAAAAAAAGGTACTACAATGCAGACTATAGGTACTTCCTGGACATGAGGTCGTAGGTCTCCAAGACAGCCTCCAGGTCACCCGCGTGGATGCCGCAGGCTGCACGCATGAGCAGGTGCTGCGGCCGCTCCACAATTTTACCTGGAGATCCCAGAACAGCTCCGGTGTTCAAGTGGTGGGTGCAAAAGATGATCTAGAGGATGATCATATTGCATTCTAGCCCAAAGTGGAAAACTCTGAAAGGCACCAGTATGCCAAGATGCCGTTCACCTTTAGCAAGTAAGACTTCTCCAGCGTCTTGAAGCCAAAGTAGTCGTAGCCCAAATCCTGAATGAAGTCAAGAAGCGGAAACTGGACTACAAATATCGCAGTGTCTGACCACCTGAAGAACACGCCTGACCAGCGAGCAAGTGTGAAGGAGTTTGCCAAAAACCAAATAATTCGCAAAGCCCTGAAACCTAAAACCATCCCAAAACCTTACTTCCGAAAGCTCCAGTCGTGGAAACTACACCCAGGTCCTGAAACCTGAGCCCGGGGGCCTTACCCCCGAAAAAGGTCCTGCCTATAGTCTCCATTGTAGTTCCTTTTTGGGGATACCTTATAAAAATCCTTAAGATAGAATTGGTTAAACCAAAAAAACGTACTACAATGGATACTATAGGTGTAATCTGCTTCCTCTTGCGGCAAAGTCTCACGGCTGTAGTCAATGCCCTCATCCAAGCGCTGTGCGTTGGCCTCACGGGCTGACGATGACTGACACAAGGGCGGAGGTCCAGGGTTTTAGGGCCAAGTTTAGGGTTTATAGTATAGGGATTAAGCAGTAGGTGATAAGGTTTCAGTTGCCAGTGTCGTCCTCGCAATGTCAGTGTGACCCTTGAACATAAACCTAAACCTAAACCTAAACCCCAAACCCCAAACCCTAAACCCCTAAATCCCCAAACCCTAAAACCTAAACCCTAAAGTGCCAATCTCTCCTGAAGTTCCATAAAACCACCCTCTTCTCAGGACACTGTGACCTGCGGTGCAAGATGCAAAGGACATCGCTCAACACGCTTTGGTCCACCAGCCGAGGTAGTGGTGGTAGTAGTAGTGTTAGTAGGTGATAATAGCGGCAGCAGTAGCAGTAGCAGCAGTGCTTGTCTTAATGTATATACAGACATGGAGCACTCTCCATGGCACTATTGCAGTCATGCGATATCGTGGAATTCAAAACTAGAAGGAGCCGATAAGCTTCAGAAACCCCCCATGTCGGCCTCAATGAACTCCCACACCTCCTGTGAAATCAGCGAGGCTGATCGCCCTTGAGGGTCGACGTAGCCATGGAGGATACGACAGGTCTCCTCTGAGAGGATCTCGTTGCTTCGGGCTCTTTGGATTTCGTTTAGGGGCTTTGGGATGTGGGGTTTAAAAGGAACCTGATCCAGGGCTTCGTGTTTGAGGGCTTACCTCGTACTTTATGCACTGAGATGTGAAACAAACCCGAAACCCTAAGCAATTCGAAGCCCAGAGTCATAGAAGGACTCCGATGTGTTCTTGTGAAGGTTCGACACAGCGATGCGAGCTGCCAGTACAGAGAAGTCAGGATGCTTCTGAGACATGTACCTTGCATCCGCACTGCAGACTGTTGGGGTGGCTGTGCTGCGGCTGCGACGGGTAACTTATGACATCACAAGGCTTCCGGAAAGTGCCCAACGTGGAACAGCCGCATCATGAGAAAACTACACAGAGCAACCCAGGTACGCGCAGGTCTCGGCAGCCAAGACGTCCACTTCGGAAGTGGAAATCCCGCTGTAGAAGCCTTCTACCACCTTCCTCGTGACAACAACCGGGTCGACAAAGCGTGTGTCCAGGCCATCAGTAAGCCGCCGGATGCGCCGCGTGATTGCATCAAACTTCACTTCCTGTCAACTGCGGAGGGTTTGCAAATGGATCACAAATTGTTGTCGGGAGCCTCTGTGTGTGTGCCTGTGCTCTTGTGCATACTTTGGCATATCGGGTGGAGAACAACATCACTTTGTGTGTGTGTGCGTTTGCGCGTGCATGCGGGGGCCTGCCTATGAGCAAACAAACACAGATGGTGGATTCGCGCAACCACGCGGACTCTCTCTGTCGGCATCCCTCTCATTCTCTGTCTCTCTATTCTCTCTCTCCCCTCAAAGCCGTCAGCCCCACCCCAAACAGGGTAACATCTCCTAGGCACCATGACATTCACATTCCCACGGAGAATTTAGACTCTGGGGTATCTTGGGAGAACGAATACCTCACCAGGGTGAGAAAAGGTGAGAAGGACATGAATGCGAACCCTCTGGCCCATGCCTGCTTCTGTCCATCGCGCTTCACCACGTACATCTGTGCCATGGTTCAGGCGTGTGAGCCTGCATCGAGGCCCGTAAGTAGTTCCTTTTTATGGCTTATATTTAGGATCCTATAAGGAAATCCCAAAAAGGAACTACTTAGGGGCCTATGGGTAGCTTGACTCAGAGTTTAGCTGTGGTGTGGCACAAACGAAACTGCAATGACTTGCGGCTCGGACTTACCCTGGTTAATATAGGGGCCTTACTAAAATAGGAGAGGGCTTGGGGTATGTTGTAATTATTATACATTATTATCTATGATAAGGAACCCCCAAAATAGTATTGGTAATTATTTGGGCCCCTATGTTCGTGTCTGCAGGAGTAAGAGCAACAGCGACCGGCTGGCACTCAACTCGAACAGCTGGAACCCCGAAGCCTCATTTTCAAAGCCCAACTCTGAAGGTTACGAAGTGCTTAATGGCAGATTGTGCTTTTCTAGTCTGCCATCACGAAGGCCCCTTAACCCTAAACCCTATGGACACCCCATCATCCGGACTCTGCAAGGTCGGGCGCCCCATCTTCCCGGCCTCTCGAGTCAGTGAGTGCCGAGGGTAACGGAGCCAAACCAAACACTGCGGGAATGCATGCAGTGTCATGAGAACTCGAAGCCCGAAGTGTAAGAGAGAGAGAGAGAGAGTGTGTATATATATACACGTGTGTGTGTGTGTGTGTTGATGATAGGGTTTCGGACTTAAGGCTGTACGTTCCAGATTCGTCCAGATGGACGCTCTTCGGGTCTGGCGGCATCGCAAAACAACAATCCGGCGGAAGACACAATGCTTCTCATGCGACAACTTACTAGTATCTACTAGTTGATGTGAACTCCAAACATGATCCCCATTATCGCACCGCAACCTGGAAGGGGCGGAAACACTTGACGGTTTTGATCTCACCCGGTGGAATACCTGAGGCAAGCTTTTCCGCAAGCATCAAGCGCAGTGTACCAGGTCATTGTCTTTGTGCAGCCGATTGGGGGCTCCCGATGCAGCCTCATATGTGAGGGGGCTTGGGAGACATGTCGGGACGTGCAGCGCAGCCTACGGGCCCAGCCGGCTTCTCCTGTAGCAGCATAGTCGTAGTCAGCAGAACCTCTCGGCGTCATTTCGGGAAGGCTTAACAGAATGCCCAGGTGAGAATCACGGTGAGAACACCAAGAAGGACAGTGATGAAAGAGGTGTCAACCTGTTTCGGTTTTAGCCACATTTGCCTTTCCTCGCAATGGTGGGGTGGAGTCGGACTCTTTCAAGACTGTGTCCACGACGAGTGGAGCAATGTGACTAACTGCGACATGTCAGCTAACTCGAAATTACCGAAAGTTGTGACTTCGATACAGCTGCCGAGGCAACATTACATCATTAGCTCATCCATGCATCAAGTCATCCATCCACGCAGCCTTTCATTCCATGCATTCCATTCATGCCAGTCACGTCGATCATTCCGTTCATCCCAGTCATTCCATAATTCTGCTCGCCTCTCTCATTTCTGCCATTTCAGTCATCTCATTCGCTACATTCGTGCCAGTGCTTTCATTCCTTTCATTTCATGTGATTCCATTTCTTTATCTTTAGTTTAATTTCGTTTTATTTCGATCATTTCATTCCTTCACATATAGTCCACAGGTTGGCCAGGATCTCAGCATCGAGCATCCATAACGGCTGGCCCGGGTGCAACCCTCCCTAAACCCTGAACCCGAAACCGCTAGACCCGAAGACTCCATGGGAAAATCCAGTGGAAGAGAGATTGAAACTCAAACTTTCATCCTCGAACCTCAATCCCTCAACCCAGCCCTCCTCTTCCATTCTAGAAAGCCACTAATTTCGGCGGGTTGTGGGTGCCCGGTAAGCCTGCAACAGCAGACTGCGCTGTTCATCGACATCCGATGTTCTGGCGTCCGACTTCTTCTAGGAGCGTTTTCTACGTATGGGGTTGTGGCTTGGGCTGGATTGCGGCTGAAGCTTCCAAACTATGCTCCAACAGACGCCGAAAAGTAGAAACCACACATGTCACTTCATCCTATCAGGCTCCCCAAAGTGCCATTCTTGTCCAAGGGGAACCCTCGACACGAGCACTTTACCCTGAATTTAGAGGCACGGCTCAACACAAACAGAACACATCCTATATTTATGTACCTCGAAGAACACACGGTGCACGAAGCATGTGCCTGAGCGGTCTCCGCGGTCTTGTGTGACCTCACCGTCGTGTGGCTGGCGAGTTCCTCGACACCTGCAGTGCTGGTTTGATTAAACGCACGTTCCAGTATGGCAATCTTGAATCTCGCCTCAGCAGGTAAACAAATCTGGACAGCAAATGGCAGTGCGAAAATACCCACTTCCAGATGTTGCTTCGATCTGAACTTAAGTGGAGCTGCATAAGACCTGAGCTGAGTCTGGCTTCACTTGCTTCTCCTGGCTTCTGCAAGCTTACTGCAGCAGTCTGCAATCTACGCGGACAACGAAGGGGGGTCTTGCATAGCGGAACTCAGCTACGAAACAAGGCCGAATATCTGCAAGAAGTAACTTGGACTGCCAAACTCCTCTAACATTCGACCAAAACGCGACACACGCTATAATTGCTTCGGGGCCAACATCAACAAGTTCCACTTGAAGATTTCGGTCATGTTGCGATTGCGGGGCCGCTCGTACTTTTTGTGACACTGCCGTGCAGCACATGAAGCTTGAATAGACCCTGAACCCTGAACCCTAAACCCCAAACCCTGTTTAAACTTATGACTCACCATGGCCTGAAACGCCTGACGACTTCAAGGCTGCAGTGTTTTCTTGGGGGCCCTCTACCCTGCACCCTAGTCGACGTTCTGGGCCGTAACCAGAAGCAACTGATGTAGAGAAGTCTTCGGGATTCGGGTATGAACGAGCTTAGAGTTGAGAGCTTTCTACCCACGCCTGCTTCTGGCCGCGATGTTTAGCCGCACGCGCGTCTGGCCCAATCCTGGGCCTGTGCAGTTTAATGAAACATGCAGAGTCTACTCTACACAATTCGGGGGGTAGGGCCTTGTCGACTTTACCACACATCGGAGGTCTAAAATCGCAAGTGCTGGACCCAACAAGCACCCTGCAGAGGTTCAGGGGATATTTCAAGAATTTCGGGATGTTGGGTGTGAAGGTTCCTGAGTCGGACCGAGGACTCCTCAAAGCTCAACTGATTTTGAGCAAAACGGTTTAGGGTTTAGGGTTTAGGGTTTAGGGTTTCTGAAGCTTCTGCTTCTGGCGGCGGGCAAGGATATTCGGTGCTGGTCGGGCTGATGTGGCAAAGCTTATGACTGGTTGGTGGCATGGCAACCCCTATCAACACACTTCCAAGTGCACCAACCTTTCCACAACTTGTGAGATTCAGCGATCTCGAAGTCCACACGGAAGCATGCCAACTATGCCAACACCATCAGTGGCCTCTGTTTCACTTGCTTGTAGAGCGTCAAGGCAAGTATTGAACAACAAAGGCAGGATAGGCCTGCTCGCGGTCGAAAACTACAAATTCTTGATGAATTTGCATCGGCTTGCGATGCCCTGTGACTACACCAGGTTTGACAACAACAGAACCGTACGTGCCTGCTGCACCAATCCTGTTGGGAGGTCTTCTCTCTCCGTGTCTGGTTGCAGACGCATAGTACGCATCACCAAGAGCCACTCGCGCGATAATCAACGTCCTTTCGCACTTGCAAAGAGACGCCTTGCCGGAGTGAGCCCCACATGAATACTGATGGCTCTTGCATGCAGCACCTGCAAAGTAGACGCCATCACCATACATCCCGCGTCGACAGGTCCTGTGATCAAAGCCATGCCTAACAATGTCATCAGCATTGCTCCATGACGTGCCATGTAGCAGTATCTTCTCATCCACATCGCTTGCCAAGGGTTCTCCACAGTCGAGGTATTGCTGGCTTTCAGTCATCGCATTCTTCCGACCATCAAGATCAAGAGCTGCAGGCTCTACATGCAGATTGTACTTTGCATGGTCTTCCCTCATGGTGTGCAGCCTCGCTTGGTACCGCTGCCAAAGTTGATAATTTTCAATCCGATGGACAGATTTCACTGTGGCTGTCTTCATGTGCGAGCATGCTGTTGACACATCCCAAGCATGGCCAGTCGACCAAAGAAGGCGGTTGATCACTTCAATCAAAGCTGCATCTTTGACCTCTACATAGAAGGACCTAAGGTCATCCCGCTGTGTCAGCAAAGCGGCCGGGGAACTCGCCCACTGGCGAGGAGCTCCGGTAGTGATGCGAATCGGTCGTGTTCCCAAACCCTCCACGCTTGATTTTTTTCAATCGGCCGCTTGAAAAAATGCGGAAACCAATCGGCGCTTGAAGATTGAATTTGGGAGGGCAAAACCGACACCCGGCTTCATCTGCCGCATGTCGACCCGCTTGATTCCTCGATTGATTCTACACTTGATTCTTCGCTTGATTCCTCGATTGATTTTACTGAAGGTTCCCGCTTGATTCCTCGATTGATTTTACTGAAGGTGCCCGCTTGGACCTTCGGATTGATATACAGTCGAGAATTCGGGGTTTGCTTGCTTGCTTGCTTGCTCGCTTACTTGTCTACGTACTTACTTACTGACAGACTGACTTACTTACTTGCTTGCTTCCTTCCTTCCGTCCTTCCTTTGATCCTTCCATGCCTCCATGTACACGTAATTACATACATGTACATACACACATACACCCATAGATTTATACATCCATGCAGCCAAACATGCATTTGCACATGTACCAGGCCGTGCACGAGGCAGGCGACCAGTGTTGTTGACAGGGTTGTGCAGAGTCATGAAGACACTTGCATTTCCAAAGGCTCGAATCCTCAGACACTTTTGTGCAGCCCCGGAAACAGCGATGGGGGGAGCGAAAGGAGGCAATCGACGACCGAAAATTCCCGATTGCGACTTAGAGCATTTGCAAGACGTCTTGACCGAGATAGCGAGGGGCGAATCCGGTTTGCACTTCAAGGGCTACTTGGGTGTACTCAAGAGCCAGGCCATTCTAGGGGCCGACCTTGTGGAGCACACCTATCTCATCAAGAAGTTGTGGGAACTTCAGCCTACACTTTTGTTACGCTATGCAGACCTCAAGATGATCTTCAGTCGCATTTGCAATAACTTCCCTGCCATCAGGAACCAGTTTCCGATGCACCAACAGGGGCAAGCACCCAGCAAGCTGGCCGAGGCCTTGATGACTGTGTGCACGCACACCCGCCGGCTCAAAGATCCAGTTCGCTTTCGGGAAGCAAGTTCCACTTTGCACGATTGGCAAGTCCTTAAGCTTCAGGAACTCCGGGCTTTGGTGCAGGATGATGTCGAGGACGCCCTGAAGCCTAAACCCTAAACCCTAAACCCTAAACTCTAAGGGGAAGCTTCAGGACCAGAGCTCCGGAAAGATCACGAAGAAGCCGAGCACCCCCGAGAAGAAGAACAAGCAGAAGCCAAGCACACCCGACAAGAAGAACAAGCTCAAGCCAAGCACACCCGACAAGAAGAGCAAGCAGAAGCCAAGCACTCCCGTGAAGATCCTCCCCAAGCACAGCAGTGACGAAGTCAGCATTGCAGACACACAGTTCTGCCTGGAGATGGAGATCCCTTGTACCCAGGAGACCGACGGCCACTAGGATTCGGAGTACGTGGTTCCCTTGCATTTTGCTTGGTTTTACATAGCCCTTAAAGTTCAAATCATTTTGGTTGTCCGCATTGGTTAACCCAGGCAGTGAGATCAATCTCAGCGACCTCAGGCAGGAAGCCGATGCCTTGTCGCCAGTGCCCGCTCGGAAGAAAAACGTGAAGAAGTGCCTCGAGAACGAAGGCCCTACGAAGAGCCTGAAAGCCATGAAGGTCATGAAAGCCATGAAGGCTACGAAGACAATCAAAGCGATGAAGGTTTGCCGGAAGCCAGCAGCTGCTGTGGAGCAGTGCTACAGGGATCAGAAGCTGTTTCTGATGCCATACAAGAAGCATCCGAACAAGCCGGTGGCAATCAGGGTCCAGGGGGGCAAACAGCTCCTGCAAGTTTCCAGATTTGGCAGTGTGAAAGAGAACTCGAAACATGCTGCACGTCTCTTGAAGAAGCTCAAGGGCGGCTGTTCCTTGCAGCAGGTGTTGGAGATGAAAAAGAATCTCTGAGAGATTCTTCGTAAGTTTGAAAAGATGGCCGGCTTGATATGCATAAGAACATTTCGCGAGCCACAGAGTTCCACGCCGAGTGTCTGGGGAAAGGATTCCAACTGAAGTTCGAGTTGGCAGTGCTTGTCCAGAGTGTGTGTGTGTGTGTGTGTGTGGGGGGGCAGGGGGCACAGTCTGAACATGCATTCGCTGCTCGGTCGACCTTGATGCAGTTTCATTCCATAGGCATGCACATGGCAGCAGTGCAGTTTCAAGGCTCCTCTTCCCAACCGCTCCTCATGTCTGTGTACTTATGTGTATACTTTATTGCAATGTACTCCTTAAGCATGGCCAACTCGCCAGTGCTGCCTCTCGACCGTGGGCCGCAGCCCAAGTGCACTTGCAAAGACGAAACTCAGCACCAAACATAGGATGCCGAATTCCACACCCCAACCCTCGCAAGGTCACTTATGCGATGCAGTCCAACATCGAGATCTATAAGGCTCCATGTGTTGGTATGGATTCTGGAGATAGGGCTTACAGCTAGGGCTAGACTTTGTTAAAGTTTAGAGGTTTAGGCTGTGCGGTTAATGGGGTAATTAAAGGTAAAGGGGGTGAAGTCTAGTGCTGGAAAGACATTCTGATCAGTCGGCTTGTGAGACAAGGCCCTCAGCCTAAACCCCCAAAACCCTAGGGCCTTAACCCTAAAACCCTAAACCTTAAGACCTTACACGTCCTGAACGCCGCCAGGTTCGGAAGACATCACTATGGGCGACTTCTCGAAGGCTTATGAGGTACATCTAAGGGTTGTTTAAATAGGCTGTAGTTCTCGAACTTCGGGAAAAGGATGGAATCCGAGACTTTAGTGTCATGTATTGTATGGTTTAGGGTGTTTACCCCCATCTTCGGGATTTGTGAACCAAGTGGTGTGGAGGGTTTAGGGCTATTGAGCTTTTGGTTTAGTGTGTAGTTCCCGAACTTCGGGAAGAGGATTGGCTTTGAGAGTCTAGAAATTGTAGGGTTTTGGCTTATTTGCTTCATGGTGTCGAACTGTCTGGGAAAAGGATTGGCTTTGAGACTCAAGCAATTGGAGGGTTTAGGGTTATTTAGTTATGGAATAGGGTGTAGTCCCCGAACTTCGGGAAAGCACATAGCTTGGACCCCGAGGCATGGCCTCAATTACCCAATTACCCAAACCCTAAAGCCGATCTAAGACCATATGCCTCGCCGCGATATTTATGTGGCTGTGAAAGCCGAAACCCAAGAAATAAAAAAAGCGCCAAACCCTAAACCCGTACAACCTAAACCCTAAAAGATTACAGTCGTCGTCGTCCTCCTCTTCCCGTGGTCGTAGCTGTAGCAGTTCTGCTAAGAGTAAGGGTTTATAAGGACTGAGGGTTGAGGGGCTGGGCTCGGGTTTAGGGGTGAAGGTTCAGGAATTAGGGTTTAGGGACCAGGGTTTAAGGTGTATGTAGTAGTGGTGGTAGTAGAAGTGTTATTATTCTCATTATTGTTACTACTACTACTACTACTACTACTGCTGCTTAGTGCTGCTGCTGCTGCTGCTGCTGCTTTGGTGGTGGTGCTGGTGCCTGCTGCTTGGTGTTGGTGTTGCTGGTGGTGCTGTCGTGCTTGTTATGGTGTTGTTGCAAGTGCACCAATATTTTCATAGCGGGTGGTATGTCAATACTAAGCCCTGAGCCCATATTCCAAAACAAACCCTAAACGAACCCTTAAAGAAAAACCTTAAAGGAGCCGTGAGCCTCTGTTCTTCAGCATAACCGGGCCAGTAAAGTCCAAACTTTCTCATGTAGACCACAGCTATCTAATGCCAAAAAGTTTTAATGTTCTCCCGTTAAATAAAAGAGCCATGAAGCTTAGAACTCAAGGCCCTAAACACACCCGATCTGTGTTTCCGGCCCTAAATACCCTACAGCTTGAATCCGGCTAAAACCTAGTTCGGCCCGCTAATGCCGCCATAAACCCTAAACCCCTATCCCCAACCTTTCACCCCCGCTCCGAATGCCCTTGAACGAGCTACCCCAGCCAGAAACCCAGAACCCTCAACCCTGAAGCCCAAAGCCTCCGGTCAAGTTTCAGTGTTTAGGGTTTCGGGCTTTAGGTCTCAGGGTGTTAGGGTTTCGGGGTTTCGGGAGTAGGTGTGCTTCGGCCGAAGCAGCAGCAGCAACGAAACAACAAAACAAAAAACAACAGCCACAACAACTGTAACTGTCGAGCACCGACACCGCCACCCCACCAGCAGCAGCAGGACCACCACCACCAGGACCACCACCGCCACGAACAACAACAACAACCACGACAACATGCAACAACGACGGGTTTATGGTTTAGGGGTATAGGGTTTAGTGTTTATGAAAGTGCTGCTTCCCAGCTGATTGGCAGAGTCTGGGTTCAAAAAAAGTTCAGGGTTTAGGGGTTTAGGGTTTTAGGAATTAGGGTTTAGGGTTTAGGGGTTCGACAGCCTACGCTGGCGACCATACTTGCCGACCGGGGCCTCGCTGCCAGTAGTAGTAGTAGTAGTAGTAGTAGTAGTAGCAGCAGAAGTAGCAGTAGTAGCAGCAGCAGCAGCAGTAACAGTAGCACCAGCCGCAGCAGCTGCAATCAAATCCTAGTTGTGGTGGTGCTGCTAGTAGTGGTTACAGGAGGTGGCAATAACACGTTATATCTGGACGGTTACGATTGCTTGGAGGGTCGGGGGGCTTAGTAAGTAGATAATGAGTAGACTTATAAGTACCCGAAATAAGGTCCTAATTGGGATTATGATACTTCTAAATCTATATAACAGCTACTTACTAAGTCCCCCTAGCCTCCAAGTGGGGTGTAGGACAGTGTTGTTGTTTAATAGCCACGCTAGTAAGTCATGAAACTTTCCTGCACCACTAATCCAGCCCAACCCCGCAGACTCAAATGTAGCTGATTAATTGTTTTCTCAGCTGATGGCACTAGCCATGATCAAGTAGATAAACACGAGCAGCTCCAAGGGCAACACCGATAGCAATTGATGCCAACAACATGAAGATCTTTAAATGTCCCAAAAATGCTTGGGAAGCCTTTGCCTGGCTAAGATAGATTGATTTTGTATGTTCTTGCCATTTGATATTGCGAAGTAGCTCAAACTATAAGATCTTAAACCAGAAGGTCTATACCATAGACTCTGCAGGTTAGGTTGAAACCCTAAACCCTACACCCTAAATCCCTGAACCCTAAGCCCTAAACTTCATTCCTAAATCGAATCCGATAAAAACATGAGGCCTTATAAGGACTCAGGGGTTAGGGGTTAGGCTCAGGGTTTGATCCCGGGCGACGAAGCAAGCCCGCTACAAAAGGGGTGAAAGTTCAGGAATTATGGCTTAGGGCTGAGGGTGACAGGGTGTATGTATCTTATTATTACTACTACTTTTGCTACTGCTACTGCTACTGCTACTGCTACTGCTGCTGCTGCTGCTGCTACTACTCCTACTCCTACTCCTAGTCCTACTGCTACTGCTACCTACCACTACCACTTCTACTGCTACTCCTACAACAACAAACAACAACAAATACCACCACCACCACC